CATGTAAATTTTGGTGAAAATCCGTCGAAAATTGCGGCCGTGCATTCGTTACACACACACACATCCAACCTTCTGTACACTCTCTGCGGGGGTCTCTGTTTTCGGCGTTAGCGATCACTGTCTTATAGAGAACAGCGTCATTTGTCAAGAAACCAAGGTTCCAGTACGTGATCATCATTGTCAGGGTCACCCGGCATCAAACTTGCAAGGTTCACTCCACTTAGTTGATAATCATCAAGGCAACAAGTGTTGAAACAATTTCTGTAACATCCTTCAGATGTTTCATTTAACGTGATATCGGCTGACGCATATATCGCTACAACTGCAATAAAACCTAAACATGTGACGTTAGATTTGGATTATCTCTGCTCCATTTACCAGTGTATTTTTAATATAGAGGCGGGAATATTTGAAAAGAGGTACAGGGGTAGAAAAGGTTAAAAAAGAAACCAGGTTATATATATATTATAATACCTACAAAACTATCCGAGTTGCCAATGGCTATGACTTAAAATTCAACCTAACATTAGACAGCATGCTGTATATCATATCACATGAAAAATGTTTATGCAATTTGTGTTTTAATGTATTTTTCCATTTGGTAAATCAAAGCTGTCCTGGGAACAATGAATAAAAGATATGGAAATTTTCGGTGAGAAATGAAGGATCAGAAAGTGTGTGGATTCAATGCAAGACTTGAGGAAATAGTCGAGACGAACCAAATGTAACCGTGAAAAAGATTTGAAAGTGTTCAAATTCTTTTATGGCAAATAAAATTGTGAACAAATATCCAAAGGCCTTTCAAGGCAGGCAACATTACGGAAAGATAGACGAACGAGAACTGACAGTTTTGTACATTGGTGTCAAGTATGCTGGTTAATTCCCATGATCTCTTCACTTTTGGCAGAGAAAAAAAAAACATCGCACATTCAGATATTGTTCGCTGCTTCCGTAAGGAATTTAATTACGATTCTCTTGTTCTACGACCTTCAGTTTTATGCCATTACGAGTAACAAGAACCAAAAGCCCAAAGACCAAAAAAAAAAAAAAAACGAAAAGAAAATGGAATTCCTGAATCGTAAAAACGTCATGTCCTGCAAGTTTTGGATTGAAAATAATTCCGCTTTCATAAGATTCCGAGAATTTCTTTTACGATTTTGAGCATGGAATAAGACGAAAAACAAATAAACTTACATTTATGACACATTGTCGACTCGATTGTCATATGGGATGACTTCTCGGACATGCTTGCCTGTAGTGATTTTATTTTTATTACGGCTAAATAATATGAACATTAAAACCTCTCATAATAAAATATCTGAATTGAAATATAATTCATCTATATATAAGGTCAACTTTTTTATGGTAAAATTCACAAAATCCAAGACCAAAGAGCCGCCCTAGCTAGTGCTAAAGTGCTTATAAAGAATGATTTGTTGGATATGAATGAAAGAGAAGGTGGTAAGAAGCGAAGAGTACAAGTATAAATAACGATTGACATACGACTTAACAAGGTCAAAATGGCGGTGTTCACAGTTTTCCCCAAAGTAGCAGGTTATTTTTTATAAAAAATTATGTGGAAATTTATTCTTACATTTGTAATGCAGAGTAAATGAGGTTGAGTCGACTCCATAGATGTGACATGGTGTAAAGTTTGGAACAAATGGAATTAGAGATTGGAGCTCATCTGAACATTTGCTCCTCCTGCATGAAACAATGTATCGCTTTTTTAAACCTTTGAGCCCTGACCACAGCTTTACCAATTATTTGCGAATTTTGACTCAGGAGCTCAGGCAGAATGGTTAATGTTGTGGATTCCGAGATGAAATTTGGTCTCCAATGAATGATAAACGCAAGAATTAAATACAGTGTAACCCGGATATAAGAGAGTTGTCGAGACCGGAGAAGAAGTCTCTTATATCCGGGTTTCTCTTATATCCGGGTTTCTCTTATATCCGGGTTTGGTCTATTTTATATACATTAACACAGGCTCTAATTTGGGACCAGAGAAAATCTCTCTTATATCCGAGTTACACTGTATAAGGAATTAAATGTATTTACACAATAATACAATGGATAATACTGTTAGTAAATCCAGGAACGCGGTTAGTAACAATAATGATATATATATATATATATACAGTCTCGAAGTAGGACTTCCTTAGAGTCTACGTGCTTGTAACTGTGATTTCTACAAGCGGTTACCTCACACTATTACTCTACCTCCAACTCAATCACAATCTCTGCTCACTCTCACTCTCCCTATTCTGACTGACTCAGGGTATTTAACGGCAGCAGACCAAGTAACACTCTAGTCGAGTCCACTTATATGAAAAAGGGGAGGACCCCCATAGCAGTTAAAATTGTGCAGGTCTCAAAGGGTAAGCAGTATCTCTAATTTAAGTTTCCTGATATTCATTTTTACGATTTTGAGGAACGTATGAGTTAAAAACAATGGCGACTAAATAATATATAGTTACAAGAGACAGATAAAGTCTTCCTGAAGCGTAATTTTATTAAGAGCTTATGAAAACTAGTAACAAATAAAATATTTGAATTGAAAGAATGGTTACTTTAAATATAAGGTCATCTTGAAAAAAACATGAAAACGCGCCAAGCCCAACATTTTCTACGTGACTTTAATTCAAAGGAGAATATGTCTCTAATTCAAGTAACCCGCATTTTTTACGATTTTCAAGGCCACATGAGAAAAAATTAGTTGACTTTTATGGTATGTTGATAACACTATAATCAATCATTACATGAGATGATTGTTTAGCCATGTTTTCCTGGAGTTTTATATATATATATATATATATATATATATATATATATATATATATATATATAATTTATTCGGAAATTATAGCATAAATATGTTATAAATTCACTCACAAAAATAGTCATTTTGATTTTATAATATTTATGTTATAATTTTCGAATAAATCGTATTTGCTCTACTTCGTATTGAGCACTCTTTTAAGAATAGTATTTTTGGTTATTGGAATTTATTCCGTATACGCCAATCCTATACTTGGAGATATATATATATATATATATATATATAAAAGAACGAAAATAATATAGATTCAACCGTCCATATCATTAATTTAAAAAGATCTCAATACAAGAAGTAGAGCAATAAATATTTATTTTAAACTGTTACATTGGAACATGCAAGTTTCCGGGTATATTTGTTGGTTGTCCAAAAACGTCTCTTACGTTTTAGGACGTCGAAACAAATAGGCATTTTCATTGCGGTAAATTGCACGTTCCAATGTAAAAGTTTATAGTATATATATATATATATATATATATATATATATATATATATATATATATTAAAATCTATTTTTTAAATAAATTGATAAAACTTACCACCCCTCTCCTTCATATGTAAAACCCATTTACAGTCTATCTCTCTCTTTACTTCCCCCTTCTTTCTTTTTTCTTTTTTTTTTCTCTCTTCTCCCCTCCCATTTCAGTATATCAATTCAATCAAGTTAACCGTTTAAATAGGTCAAGGTCTGGTCACTCCTCCTCCCCCAATACTAAGTATGATTGAGAGAAATATTAAATTAAACCCTCTCTAAACTCTATCATGTCTCTCTAACTACCCTTTATTATATTCTCTGTTAAATTACAAAAACTTACACTATCCATCAATTTTCATTTCATTTTTCGTTTCATCTTTTGGAAGTGCTATCTGATGATCCGACGTCCTTTAAAAGGGCTCTGGTGAAATAAATTATTATAATGGAACCTTAAAGTGGTCTGTTTTTCTTTAAAATATATATATATATATATATATATATATGTGTGTGTGTGTGTGTGTGTGTGTGTGTGTGTGTGTCCTGACCTGACATCTAAGCTTCAGCCATTTTTCTATTTCACTAACGTAGCAGTTCTGAGCCATTTCAGTAGATATTTTCATGACTTTATGAATTTAAGCACAATACTAGCTCTGAGCCAAGATCCCATCATTTTACAATCGAAATAGATGAAACTGTAAGTTCTATGCTAAAATTTTATTCTCTCGCACTTCTCGCTTGTGCAACTCTCCACCGGCCTCTTGCTTCCCAGTCAACTTTGATCTTCAAAAATTTTAATGCAATGCCAGTCATTAATTCCTGTTGTTTCATTGTTCTATTTCCTTAATAGTTTTTCTTTCTCATATTCTCTCGCATTTAGTAACCCCCTTGCGTCTTAGTGGCTTTATTGTCTTGTGTGGAGGGAAATGAATTTTAAAAGGGTGCCATTCACGATGCACAAATCGATATTTACCTAAATTTGTTGAATCGAAAAGCATAAGGGTGGAGGATCCAATGAAGCTTTTCACTTTTGAACAGGCGCCATTCAGATAGGTAATCATGTTAAATAAAAAAATACATATTTGAATAGAAAAGAAAAAGAAACAGAGGAAATACACATTACAATAAGCATATATTAAAAGAAGAAAAAGCAGAATAATAGGGAAAAAGTACATACTGGAAGAAGAAGAAGAAGGAGGAGGAGGAGGAGAAAAGGAGAGGATGATAAAAGTACATATTAGAGGAAGAAAAAGAAGTAAATCAGAAGAAGAAAAAGAGAAGTAGAACTTACTAGAAGTAGAAGAAAAGGAGGAGAGGAAAAAGTACATCTTAGAAGAAGAACGTACTAGATGAAGAAGAAAAGTAAAAGACAGAAGGAAAAAAGTACAGATTAGAGGAAGAGAAAGAAGAACATACCTAGAAGAAGAAAAAGAAGAAGAAAAGAATAAGTACATAAAGAAGAAACACATATTAGTAGAAGAAGAAGAAGAAGAAGAAGAAGAAGAAGAAGAAGAAGAAGAAGAAGAAGAAGGAAGATTAGGAAGAAGACGAAGAAGAAGGAAGAAGAAGAAGAATAAGAAGAAGGAAGATTAGGAAGAAGACGAAGAAGAAGGAAGAAGAAGAAGAAGAAGGAAGATTAGGAAGAAGACGAAGAAGAAGGAAGAAGAAGAAGAATAAGAAGAAGGAAGATTAGGAAGAAGACGAAGAAGAAGGAAGAAAAAGAAGAAAAAAGAAGATTAGGAAGAAGACGAAGAAGAAGGAAGAAGAAGAAGAATAAGAAGAAGGAAGAAAAAGAAGAAAAAAGAAGATTAGGAAGAAGACGAAGAAGAAGGAAGAAGAAGAAGAATAAGAAGAAGGAAGATTAGGAAGAAGACGAAGAAGAAGAAGAAGAAGAAGAAGAAGAAGAAGAAGAAGAAACAAACAAACAGCCGGAGTTGGAACAAAAGATGGACTGAAAGTAGATGAAAGTAAAAGAATGATGTAGTAATAGAAAGGAATTTAAAAAAAAAGAGAAAGTGAAGAAATGACACGAGAATAATAATAATAATAATCATAATAATAATAATAACAACAACAACAACAACTTCCAGACCAAAAAACATAGAAAAATAAATCGTAATCCAGACAAAAAAAAATGTAACTGTAACACAAGCTGATAGGGATGTTTTGGGATAAAAAAAAATACAAAATGATTTTTAGAAAAACGTACAAAAATCCAAGAAGATGAGATTTTAGACGAACTCAGACGAAGATTGGACGAGATATGGAGACAGAATCGCGTGTCAAGTTATTTTAGGATATTGACTGTCCGCCGTTAAAGACGATTGGTTTTTTGAATTGGTAAACAGTCGACGAAGAATATTTGGTCTTAAGAACGGCGACCAAATATTATTAGTATTATTATTCTTATTATTGTCTGGACGAAAAGTCGGAGTTTCCCTGCGCAGTTTCTGACCCACGGACAGTGGTATACACCAGGGTGAATACCAGTTTTTTTTTGTCCTCCAAATCAATGTCATGGATTCCTATACACGAAGTGGAGTTTCTCCAAATTTAAATAAACCACTTTCTTTCTCTCCTTAGCATTTCCCTCTCTCTCTCTCTCTCACACACACACACACACACACACACACACACACTCTCTCTCTCTCTCTCTCTCTCTCTCTCTCCCTCCCACCTTCTTCCTCTCTCTTAAACCTTTCTCTCTCTCTGCTTGTCCGTCTGTCTCTCTGTCTCTCTCCCCAGCAAATATACAACTTTATATATAACTTCTATATCAGGAGTCCCCAAAGTGGTCAGTATCGATCTCTGGGGGTCGATAGGACTTTCCAAGGGATTAATAAATGCCTGGGGGGAAGTAAAAAAAATCGATAAATACATTGGGGTCAGAAGGGGGTTGATAAATAAATCGTGGTGATATATAACTAGAACTCACTAATGAATGTTTCACAGTGTATGTGTTTTCTCTATAATGGAGCACCAGTTCTTGATTGGTAGATTAAAGGGTGCCGATTCCGATTCCTGTAACTGAAGTGAAACCGAAGTTGACCACCATCTTGTAATACAACCCTTATTATTTGCTATATGCGATCTAGTACCAAATCGAACCGATTTCATCAAATATTGTTTCATTGTTTCCTGGCATTTAAAATGCCCCATAAATTTGTATCTAAATGACTTTATTGCCTTATTTGGGGTGAAATGATTTAAAAAAAAAAAAAAAGAAAGCTAGTGTTGTATCCTAGAAGGGTAATAATGGAAAAGTTTCAAATGATCGAAAATATATGTGAAGAATTACGAATATTGTTTTTACTCTTCGCTTTGCCTTTAATTTTGATGTACCCATTATCTCTCCTCTGTTTCTATCCCTCCACATCTCCCACTTTATATCCCTCCTCTCTCTCGCTCTCTACCCCCTCTCTCTGTCTTCATATATATATATATATATATATATATATATATATATCACTTTACCTTTTCTCCCATCTCTCTTCTTTCCATCTCCCCTATCCCACACACTTTCACCTGTTTCCTCTGTTCTTCCCTTTCTCACTCTCTCACCACTCTCTTGCTTTATTCCTTTCATTCTCCTTCCTATTTGTCTGTGTGTGTGTGTGTGCGCGCGCGCGTGTGTGTGTGTGTATTTGTAAGCCTTTGTGTAATAATAAAAATGGCTGACCACTCGTAATCATATCTGCTAGGGCAAATAACCAGTTCTTGCTGCAGACGCCTGCTCAGGAAGATTTGCTTCTTTTTTTTTTCAACACCCAGAGCTCACACCTGTTGTTTATATTGCAACGACGTTGAGCGTGCGTTGGTTACAGTTTCTGGGAGAGAGAACACCATCTAGCGTAATCAATAGCTTGAACAAGGCCAGTACTCTCAAACTATCGGTCACGATGACTTATGACATTGTGTTAATAAAATCACAGCCATCGACGAAGAATTCCATTTACCCATTTTCACACACAATGCTTGATCCAACCCGTGATGTCGTTTTAAGTCATTTCCCAACGGTAACACGAGCTCTTCAGACGAAAATACCTCTATGACAAAATCGCTCATATATACCCGTGTCCGTGAATAGTGTACCAGTTTTGTTGAATAGGTAAAGTGATTTTAAATTCAGGATGTTGCTGCTGATGCCAATGTGTACAGTGTAACACTGATAAATCCGGAAATTTTACGT